AACTAACCGGTTCTTTCTTCCGCGCAGGTTCACGCCGTACGAGTGGCAGAACCCCCACCCGTGCGACCCCGACCCCGACACGCTGGAGAACCAGTTCACCATCCTGAACTGCCTGTGGTTCGCCATCGGCTCCCTTATGCAGCAAGGCTGTGACTTCCTTCCACAGTACGTCAGATATTAGATGGATGTCACAGAAATTTATCAGAAGACAGAGTTGAAAGGGTGTAGCTATATTCATGGATTTACAGACACAAGTAGCGACGCATATTGTTACGCAAAGGCTTAATAAAGTTCTTGTATCCATAACAGTACATAACAGAGCTAAACTACGTACAGAAAATTACAGTTATGCATGTATGTACCTCCCAGATTTTCCGTCATACATGCAGTTCCTTCCCTGGAGTAAATTTAGCCTGGCAGTCAAGTTTCTTAGTGAATGTTAAATTGGTAAAATATTCGTCGATAGAAAAAATCTATAATGTAGTAAAAGATTCTATTCTCAAATATATATAAACAAAAAATACCTGTATTACGACCGTCTGTAGCAGAGGATATTACGATGGGCGAACAACCCGAAGAAATAAACTGTTACGGGTGACTTGGCAGAAGATGTAGGCCTAAATGACACCAAAAGATTGAGAGCCACAGGTCTAAATAAATAACCACGTACAAACACATACCACACATACAACAATGCATAAAACAACAAATTCTCCTCATTCCACAGAGCTGTATCGACCCGCATGGTGGCCGGCATGTGGTGGTTCTTCACTCTGATCATGATTTCGTCCTACACCGCTAACCTCGCCGCCTTCCTCACCGTCGAGCGCATGGACTCTCCCATTGAGTCAGCGGAGGACCTCGCCAAGCAGACCAAGATCAAGTATGGATCGCTCAAGACGGGCAGCACCATGGCCTTCTTCAGGTACAGACGAGGCTTACGAGCGTGTGTTTCTGGAGGGTTAGGAGAGGGAGTGAGGGAGAAGGGGGATGGAGAAGAGGAAGGAAAAGAATGGAGGGTGAAGAGGGGAAAGGATGGGGCGAGAGAGAGAGGGTGAAGGAAGAGAGGGAGGGGGATGAAGGGAGGGAGGGAGGGAGGGAGGAGAAGGGGAAAGAATTGGGGAGAAGGAAAGGGGAAGAGGGAGGGAATGGGAGAAAGTGAGGGAGGGGAAGGAAAGGAGAGAGAGAGAGAGAGAGAGAGAGAGAGAGAGAGAGAGAGAGAAAGAGAAAGAGAAAGAGAGAGAGAGCAAGAGAGAGAAAGAGAGAGGAGAGACCCAGAAAAAAATACGTTCCAGACATAAAATTCCTCCAGCCCCAGAGCTCACCCAAAGCCTCCTTCTTCAGGGACTCCAAGATCCCGACTTACCAAGGGATGTGGGCGACCATGATGCGCCACGAGGACCCTGGCCCTTCCGTCTTCCCCGCCTCCAACGCCGAGGGGGTCAAGCGAGTCCAGGTAAGGTCATAGCGGGTCATACGCAAGGTCATGCCTTTTGAGTTTATAGGGTATATGAAGAAAAAATAAATCTATAATATATTACGATTTGATGTCGCTAGTTGGTTAGATTGATTTAGATATTTGAGAAAGTAGATCTTGTTTAGACTGGAGGTGTGTGCCATTATGCAGGGGTTTGATTAATGAAACAAATAATTGCATAAAGAAAATCAGGTTTCATTTGGATTGAAGCAAACATTTATCATTAATAGGTCTTTTTATATGCTGAATGCGCGCGCGCACGTGTGTGCGTGCGTGTGTGTATGTGTGTGTGTGTGTACGTGTACATACGTGTGTTTATGTGTTTGTGTGTTTGCACAGTAGTTAAAAGCTACACGAAACAGAAACATAATCCTCCTCCGCCTGCCTCCCACAGGAGAGCAACGGCCTGTACGCCTACCTCATGGAATCCACATCCATCGAGTACGTGGTGGAGCGGCAGTGCGACCTCACGCAAATCGGCGGCCTCCTGGACTCCAAAAGCTACGGCATCGCTCTTCCTCCAGGTAAAGCTACGTCGGGAATGACTCATGTTTCCTCTCGTGAGTACATCGGGGAAGTTCCTTACTCGCGCCGTCCTGTTTTCCCTTCTTTAATAAAGATAGTAATGATGATGATGATGAAGAAAAAGGGCGTTGGAGTTATCATTACCTCAATCAAATTTAACACAAAGAGCATATATCTCCCTTTCATTTAACACTTTCTATAACACTCTCCTTCCCTTTAACACAAATAACACGTGTTTTCAATAGTCTGATTTAGCAGCGAGACTAACACCATCCTCCGCCCCCCCCCCCTCCAGGCTCCCCCTATACGAGTGCTATCAGCAGTGCCATTTTGTCGCTGCAAGAAACTTCGAAAATACAGATGCTGAAAAGACGATGGTGGAAGGAGAAAAATAGGTCTGACAAGTGTGCAAAGGACAAGGTAAATATCCATTATTATTATTATTATTATTATTATTATTATTATTATTATTAGGGTTTTTATTTAGTTTTTTATTTTTTCTTCTAGATTTTTTTCTTATTTGTAGGAATAGTGTGTGTGTGCGTGTGTGTGTGGGTGCGTGCGTGCGTGCGTACGTACGTGTGCGTGCTTGCGTGCGTGTATATCCCACTACTTCGTCATTCTAATCATGCATTAATTTTCACATGTTATCGAACACTAATGAATACTACGCCTTTACATCTCAAGCATCAGAATATTGGAATTATTATGAACGTGTGTTACGACATACAGAACTGCAGAGAGGATTGCAGTGCATTAAACTACCTTGAACAGCTCCTACGAGTACTTTGATTCATGGAATAAAGTGGTCCTTAAATGTCTGCTTTGTGCGAAATTCTGGCGTTGTGTGGTGATTTATGTGTGTGGAATTTTCTTATGCACGTGGATTTTAGTTATTGATTTATTCATTATCATTAATGTCATTTTCATTATCGTTCTTATTCCTGTTGTTTTCCTCATTATCACCACCACTACCTTCACCACCACCCTCACTTTCACCAGTCTCATCCTCACTCTCACCACCCCCACCCTTTTACCACCTCTACCACCACCGCCACCATCATCATCACCCTCACTACCACTATCACCATCATCACCATCACCGCCATCATCATCACCACCATCACCGCCACCATCATCACCACCACCACCCTTATTCTCACCGTCTCTAAAACCGCCATCACCACCATCATCACCACCATCACCATCATCACCCTCACCACCACAACCCCTATCACCCCCCCATCTAACCACCCGCAGGAGGAAGCGGGCGGCAGCAGTATGGCGAGTGAACTGAATTTATCGAACGTCGGCGGCGTCTTCGTGGTGCTGCTCGGAGGGATGGGCCTGGCACTGGTCGTAGCACTGGCGGAGTTCGTCCTCGAGTGCTGGGACATATCGAAGGAGGATGAGGTAGGGGGGGTGTCTGTGTCGAGAGAAAAGAGTGGGTAAATAAAGGTTTTTTTTTTAAATGTGTAAAGTAATAAGGATGATAAAATGTTTGGTGATAGGTTTAGGTAAGGCTTCAAGAAGTTAACAATAATGATCAAACCAAGGTATTATAAAATAATACAATAATTACAGCATCTAATTATTGTTTTTCTTCAACAGAAATCAATAATATCAGTCCTGAGCGAGGAGTTGTGCTTCGTCTTCCAATGCAAAGGGTCGACGAAACCTGTCAGGAAGAAAATAGAGTCAGAAACACCAACAGTCGACAACTTGTACAGCTCCGATGTATACAACTGTAGCGGCAGAAATCAGCATACCTGATTACCAGATGTGGCGTCAGCCTCTGACGTCACAGTCGACCACCACCCCGACCAATGGCCGATTCCTAGCTACGTGCCCCCGCCCCCCTCGCCCGTCGCCAACCTGAACGCATCGGCGGTCAATCAGAACACATCCTTGCTCAGCCAGAACTCCTCCACCGTGGCCAGCCAGAACTTCTCCTCCTCGCCCTACTTCACGCCGGACCGGAAGCCCTCGCTCTCGCCCAACACAGACCCGAGCGAGGAGGCGCCCGAGGCCGAGGGCGTGAGGCAGAGGAAGAACTGGTAACGGCGGCCGGCCTCGACTTGCACGGCGCGAGAGGCTGCGGACTCTGGGGCACAAAGTACACTCCATATATATATATATATATATATATATATATATATATATATATATATATATATATATATATATATATATATATGCATATATATATGATTTTTTTTTCTTTTGTACCATAAAGTCTTTTAATTTTTCTTCTCTAGCGTACTGAAAAGCTGGAGTTTTTGTTGGATCTGACATTTATAAGAATAGTTTATTCATACATTTATCCAATTCAATTTCCGGTATCAGATTACCTGCAAGTTTGATACTGACAAACAAATGTGTTATGTGTTGCTTTAAAGATATGCTTCATTAATCGTTTAGATTACGTTACTTTTGAATACCTATATGATACTAATAGTAATATTTTACATATAAGACTATTTTGCATATGCTGTGACAAGAAGCTCTGTGTGAGAATCCGTCACTTTTTTGAGACAATCTATCGGGCTTGTAGATCATGCATTGTCACTGTTGACACAAAGCAGGTCCATGTAGTAGATACAAACGAGACAGAATGGCCTGCAACACCATATTATGCATCCGTGTTTGTTCAGAGACTAATGAAGTAATGCAAGACACAATATTAATTCAAAGCTCGTGACAAGCCCAGGCAGCCTCTCTACGTACCCACGGATTATGTACCGTGTCTCCTAATTATGTAGCGGCCAAAGCAGCACAGCGAAACAGCTGATCAGAGCACATAACTAACCTACAGAACCCTATATGTGATACGTTTTCCTTACCACGTGGCGTATCCCTACAAAAAAAAAGAAAGGCGCCAGTGCTGTTTACATCTAGCGCACACTTATTTTTTTATGTACAGTTTTCAAAAGATCGTCTCTGCTACTGCTGTGACTTCCCTCTCCCCCCCTCCCCTCCCCTCTCACCCTATCCCCCC